AAAAAGAAGGAGGAGAGAGAGAGAGAGAGAGAGCTAAGGACGATAGTTTAGATGTTTGGCAATGAAAAAGGAGCAAACAACACCAGAGCACCCGCCAACCACCTATACTATTAGGTACGTACAATCGCACTACACGACAGTCATTAAAAAAACAAAAACAATACCAAAGTAAACTCTGTTTCCGGCAAAGTAATAATACATCTGAAGCTCGATAAATCCGTCACAGCAAACGCACAGGCTAATACGACATAAAGTGTACAATTCGATCAAGATCGATCAGGGTACTTGACCCGCATGGTTTTGTGTGCGAGTAAACAATGTCTTCATGTCGGCTGCTGTCAACGCGTGTCAATACACGCATAAAGGAACTGCACATTTATCTGATTTTGATAAATAACTTAAACACAAAGGCAGTCATTTCAGGTTTTGTTAAGATTATTCTAAGAGTGTCTAAATGCGTCCTGTTTTGTTAAGATTATTCTAAGAGTGTCTAAATGCGTCCTCTGCCTAGGCGAGGATGGCAATTCGTCTTCATTAAAACAATCGACCTGGCGTCTGGCAAATATTGGGAGAACAAAACATGCCAACCTGTAAGTCCCTGACTGAGATAGATATGTTACAGACAGACGGATGGGCAGACGGACGGATGGACAGACAGACGGACGGACAGACAGACGGACAGACGACGGAATGACAGACAGACGGACAGGCAGACAGACAGACAATATAAAATTTACACACATTCTTACCTTTACGTAAATGCTCTGAGTTCACTTATCGAGCCCAACTCCTTTGAGTCAGCGAATGCACGTCCAGTCAACGAATTAAAGTCACAGAGTTCTGGTTACATCCGCGTAGAAATAAATTATTCCAGTTTGTGTTGGAAGCACGGTGAAGTGTAGAAGAAAAAACTCCTTTGTGTGGCTCCACAGTTGAGACAAGATCTTTGTGAAACCTTAATGAGGTGTAAGACGAGGAGAGATGCAGTTGGATCCGCCGTCGTGAATATTCACTGAAATGGTGGAAGGGTAAACATAAAACCTTAAAAAATAATTATGAGCGTTTATGGAGGATACAAATACAGTCTAAACTGTTTAAGACGGCCGTCCTTAGTCCAGGAGAAAAGTAGCCGTTTTAGAGAAGTGGCAGCTTTAGACAGTGG